TTTCCATAAATAAGGATGAAATATAGGCATTGGACATATATCAATATGTCAGCAATGTGTGGCCCCATCCCACAGATTGAGAAAGTGCCATGTCGACAAATGCACATGCAGCTATCAATACATTCATTTGGCAACCAGGGAGAACGCTGACATTAATTCAGTGCTTCACTCAGTTATCCTAATGCATCGCAGCATATCTGTTAGGGATTCAAAACTGAAACTCGCACACACGCAAATGTTTGGGAAGCCTATAGTATAATAGGAATTAAGTCTATTTGGCTCTAAGCACGCAGCCACCTTTCAAGTTTCGCAGCTGTCGCACTGACAGCTTCAACAAACATGACTGTCAGCACGACATAATGTATTTCACATTGCAGCACATTAAGTTATCACTTCACGTGTTTTTTTTATGCCTGTATGAGAGTTAAAGGAAGCGATGATACACAAATGACAAATTGTGCTTGCCTGAAGGTTAGAGCAGCATGCTTTTGGGGGAGGGCTTGGCTGGCTTAAATGAATGAGTAATGCTCTCCCATCCCTCAGCAGCTACTTTTGAAGTGCCCTTGGAAAAGGCACTGAACCCCCCAATTGCTCAAATTGAGCTGCTCAGTGCCCAGAAATGCAAAACTATGACTGCACTGGGTGGTTACCAAATGGAGTTGAATGAAAGAGTTCACCCAAGGTGGGAAAATGCGCTCCCTGCAAAGGCTGGGCTCTGTTCTGAGGTCCAGGTGGGAATATTTTGTCAGCTAATACCTCACCATCATTTGAGACTCGTTATTTATTCAAAAAGATTTAATTAAAACAGGCAAAACAATTATGAACTATATTTCTAATATAAATGTTTTTATATATTTATTGGCTTTCATTTATTCAGAAACTCTATTATTTTCTTTGTGTTTTATAACAAAAAATACTCATGAATGCATTGGTGCATGCCATCTATTATATTAACTTCAAAAGGCATTAATCTAATCTCATCTTATGACATTAAAGTTCAGACTCTCCGTAACATCGCCAAAGCTAAGTTAGATGCTGAATGCTGCTGTTACAAGTCAAGAGCCTTTGATCTGGAGGGTCAAGTTCAATTTGACCACCTTTATTATTCTGCATAAAATTTATAGCACAGCTATTACTAAAGATCAATAGCACTTTAACTGCTCCAATGATATTGAAACCTGCACTGATTTACAAGCACATTGGTCTGGTCAAATCAAGACAAAGCACAACTGCACAGCCATATTTGGCTGTTGTTTGTTGCTGTCTAAATGCCGTCCTCTTCTCTTTATCATTTCAGGGATTGTTTTCAAAGCCCGATGATAGATAAATACCTAAATTAAACAATAGAGGGATTTCTATTGGTTGAACTTCAGTGTATAAATGCATGCATTTAATTTATATTCAATGTCTTAAAACTCAATAAGCTTGAAAATGTGCAGACCCATAATCACAGTTAACTGTATTTTGGAAAGATATTTTTCACAAGCAGCGGATTTGTGTATTATTGGTCTCACCACTATAGACAAACATGTCCACATCAAGTCTAACAAACACACAACTGACCCTCTGTACAAATATAGAAGAGCAGGAGGGCACAGCATGTGTTTACGTTAGAGTGCCCATGACCGGTGTACTGGAACGTTGGGCATTCTCCATGCTGCCAAGGATTAGTCACCAGGACTTCCAAAAAACAACTGGCAGGTGGGCAGATGAAAAGATGGACTACCAGTAGAGAGTGAAAATATTTTGAACTTAATATGTGGAGTGCATCGCTTCTAGCAGCAAGGTTGGCATTTGATTACAGACTACAAATAACTGTCACTTGGGAGTTACTTGGAGGCAACCATTGCAATTTAACTCCACAAAAATCAAGGATTTGTGTCTTCTTGACATCTGCTTCAAAAAAGGCAGTGTGTCAGCCTGCTTATTGTGGGACATTTTACACATCAAAAGATTGATTTTTATGACAATTTATAGTTTTTCAGAGCCTCCGAAGTAGTTTTTCTGGCATTTTAGCATTTATTTATTTATTTATGTAGCTCAAAAACAAAGTTTTGATATCAATATAACTCCATTTACATCTTGATTATTTATATAACACCTGTTTAAAGGGAATTTCTGTTCAAAGTAACTAAAATGTCAAATTTATAACATTTATATACAAAATGATATGCTGGGCTTCCTTCGCACACATACATGTATGAACTTGAATGGCATCCCAGGCTTTAACCCACCCTCTGCAACACTTTCATCTCTTCTTGGAAGGCTTTTCAACATATTTAGTGCTATGTTTGTGTTTAACTTTTCTCTCAGAAAAGCATTTTTGAGGTCAAACACTGATGTTGGGAATAAAAGCCTTGCTGAATTGTCTGCTGTGACTGATTGGGGTTTATAAAGACAGAAGAAAAGATTTGGTAATAGCTGCCTGTACATCTCTGCTGATTGTACCACAAAACCAAGAACTGCACATGGTTTACTGAAAGTTATGAGCAGACATGGGTTGTTATATGGTTCTTACTGTTTAATAACATGGAGTTAAAATATCCTAGTTTAACAAATATAAATATTAATGAGCTTGTGTTCCTGGCAACCATGCAAGAAAATCTTTAGCCAACAGCTGGATGGTTTCTACAACTAATATAAGTTATATTGTTGTATTTTCTGCTATAGCCACGGTATTAAACACAGGAATGGAAATAGACTTTATCTAATTCAGTTTTTTATTTGTGTGGCAACATTTTGATTTGAAAAATTTGTAAATAAATTTGTAAGAAGCCTAATAATAAGCCTGTGATTGATGTTGTTGGACTTGCTCTATAAACCATTATTATGCAGGTATAGCACATTCTTTAAAGCTTGAGAGAGAACTTAAAGTCAGTTTAGTGTCTTAACAAAAAGGTATTTTGCACAATTGTTTTAAATGACAGTTATAGCTGCAGTAAAACCTCCTATTATTGGTTTATAAAGCATTAATGGCTTCATTATAATATAATCTTATAATAATTTAAAAATCTCTGTAATAGATAGTCTTTAAAGATTTGCTTTGTTGGCTCAATCTTTATGTTTCTTCACATACATAGTAGATACACACATACTTTTCTAAAAAATTAGGGATTTACATTAACTTTCATTTATCATTCATAGATTTCTATGGTTAAACACTGACCTTTGCTCTGACAATTAGTAATGAATACAAATGCAATTATTTTACTTTATTCATTAGGTGTTAAAGAAAAGAAAAACCTTTACTAATGGAGACCAGACTTTCGCCCTATTGGGAGCAGTGGGTTCTCCTGCATAGTATATGTTAAGAAAATGATCCTTACACTGTAACAAATGTTAGACAACACATTCACACATAAAGGGTTTTTCAACAGTTGTTCAGTTCTGTGAGTCATCTTCAGCAGCAAACAGTTAAGGTCATTTCTAAAACGGAATTTTCATCTTTTGAATCCACATTCTGCAAGTTCACAGTAAAAGTCAGCGTGAAGCTCTGTGTCAGATTCAAGGTCCTCTTTTCAGAGAAAGAATTAAACAAAATGGAACACATGAAAAAAATCTCAAATCTTTGGGGAATTGCATTGATTTTCTCATTTACTCAGTCCCTTGTTAACAATACAACAGCGGCGCATTTCCACCTCCACTAACTCAGACCAGTTAAAAACAGTTTGCAATTTGTTAGCACATTTCAGACAATCACAGGAATCTGCAACATATATATACATTATATCTGCAACAAAATCCATTTTTTACTGTGCAACAAAACAAACCTGACCCTTAAAAACATTCAGCTAATCAAGTCTTGAATATCAACATTGCATTATAAATGCAAACAAATGCAAATGATTTGACTTTCTTCTTTTGGCCTAAAACAAATAAAAAGAAAAATATTTCTATTATTTTTCATCTCATGAATCTTTATTTTAAAAATCTACTAAAACCTAACATGAACGGATTAACAAGAAACAAAAAGATCTTTGTTTCAGTCTTATGTGGAGTATCTATGCAGATATTCAGACAGAGGAACTGCTGAAACAATCATTTTTGTATAACCTTTATTTAGAAACTCACTGTTCATTTTGGCATCATTTTGGAGAGCCGAAGTTGAAAGTCTTAAGAGCCACACGCTGCTCTGGGGCTGCAGGTTTCAGCCTCAGCTACAACCAGTACCCTTGTATATTGAATCACCTTTGTGATCTACTTGACTCCAACTGGATCCCTGGAAAGAGCATGTTGGTAAATGGGTTGCAGCAAGCAGAGGTTATATGTAGAGGATTCACAACCTGCTGATACCTTAAAATAACATTTCCATATTTGATTACCAATAGAATTTAGTAGTCCCATGTTATCAACCCTAAACTGATGAAGTTGATTTAACATATTCTACTCTACAATCTGAACAGATCTGGAAAAGCAGAACCCTTGAGGCTCAAGGGGTGAGATTATATTTTTACAGGAATTTACTAAAAGTTCTGATCATGTTCAGAATATTAAACCCCCACCTTATTGCTTCTGATCAAGGTTGAATTGAAATCTGGCAACACGTGGAATAACTTTGAAGGTCCAAACTTATGACAGATCCCAATTGGGGTAACAGAGCAGTGCCATAATCCCCTTTATCTCCACTGTCAGCAGAGTATAGGTGTTTCACCGCATCACCTCAGCGCGCTTATTTGGCCAGCAGTTAAACTTCACCTGCTGCAGCTTTTCTTACTTTCTTTATCTATCTTAAACATGCACACCAGCTTCCCTAAATACTTTCTACACCTCCCTGGATCCAGAGGAGTCTACAGTAGGTCAACTATCAAAGCCATCGTGCGCGCCTCTGCACCCCCTTCACCCTCCAACCCGCCATCAGTCACTCAGCCACGGATTAATCCAAGCAGCCACCCGAGACAACCGATCAGTCACTCATCAGCGGCACTCACCCAACATGCCACCCATCTAGAGCCGCACATCAGTTCGCTCTGCGGGAGTGATTTCGCGCATCGGGCTCTTACCTTGAGCGCTTCTATATCCAAAGATGTAGAGCGGTCCATGACTGATTCCGTAGAGCTGCAATTCAAGCAGAAAGTCCCAAAGGTCGGAGATGAACAGAAGTAAACAGAAATGGGAACACAAAAAAAAAAGTTAGAGAAGCTCTCTAGAGTCCCAAACTCTGCTGCTGCTGCAGCATCATCTCCCCGCCTGGATCAGTTTGGACGGGTTATTAATATTCCAACAGGGCGACGGATTCTCTCGGTTTTGAGCCTCCAGGTGGGTTGGCAGAAATCAGGACTTCACGACGGGGAGGTTCCCAATACCACACACAGACACAGAAATATCCAACCTCCGCTCTGTCAAGTAGGAGAGAGCGCGCAGAGCCGTGCGTAAAAATGCTCTCCAGCAGCTGCTTTTGCGCACTTGGCGATCCCTGCTCTCTGTGGCTGTTACATCTGAGTGAGAAACATTCCCCCCCTCCCCTTCCTTCCCTCTGCTGGAATGATGCCGGGATGCTGCCTCCCCCTTTTACAGTCACTCAGCGGATGGATGCCGTTACGTTATTATCCCGGCGCGTATCCCAGCTCAGGTGGCGTTCAGTCTGCTGTCGCTGCAGCGGTAGATGGCACATTGAGAAGGGACGGTCCGAGTAAAGAGAGAGAGAGTCTAGCCTGAGCGATTTCCATGCGGCAAACCGCCAGAGATATGAGCTCTCCCCCGAAAGAGGAGAGGAGAGAGGGAGAGAGAGAGAGGGGGAGAGAGGATAAACCTGCTGAGAGAAATGCTGAAGAGAGGAGAGCAGTGGGGAGACGGGAGGAGCGAAGCAGGGAAGGTTGCTGTATATTATTTCAATGACTGACGTACCAGTGTGTGTGTGGGGTGTGTGTGTGTGTGTCTAGAGGAGAGAGAGAGAGAGAGTCTGGGGTGGGGGTGCGCTCTAATCAAGTAGATGAATCGACAATGCTGCTTTGCCACTAAAGTCCAGAGAGATTTAAATGCAGAGACTCTGGAGAAGATTTTACAGAAAGCCAGGGTTTGATAAAAATAAAAAAAAACCTGCTTGTAAAAAAAACAAACAAAAAACAAACAAAAAAACATGAAATGAACAATATAAAATAAAAAAAAAAACACTTTACATGGTGTAAAGTAAAGCGGCTTGTATGGATCACTGTGATCCAGCTCTAAACTCTAAGAAAATAAAAATCAGATCAGTAGATATTCACGTTTAAAGGACAGCAAACCTTCACTTCATCATTAGCGGGGCGCACACTGTCCTTAATACTTCTTTGCATAATAAAGTGTCGCCGCCTGCCGACCATCGGGGTTCTTCGTTCTCTTTAACATCCCTTGAATGTTGGGCTTGAAGGAAAAGCACGTTGGAAGGATGACGGATAAGTCAATAAGATAACGCGAAAAGGTGGGAAGTGAAAGTGGTGTGAGGAGGTAAAAGCTGAGGCTGTACACTGCAAGAGAAAAGCAGGTGAGGAGGCAGAATGAATAGATGGAAACTATTTAATGAGGAAAGTCACATAAAAATATGTCTACAGTAGAAGCCATGATGATTATTAATACTTCTATTTTTACAGTCTTTGTATTGGAATTTGTTGACATTCAAGTAGTTTGGAAATAATGTGGTGTGCTGTGATGACTCCATGTGTTTATGTGGACCCTGCAGGTCATTTCTGGGTTTTTTTTTTTATGTTTTTTGTAAATCAAACGATAATGGGGCCAAATATGATGCAATTTAAACTGTTACCATTCTGCATCAAACCCACATGAGCCTATACAGTGAGTAACTCATGGATGGCATTTTTTTTTCAGCATTTTTATTGTCATTACACTGTCACAAGTACAGAGCAATGAAATGAACTCTCTCAGTTCTCAGAACTGCATTTAACCCATCCCCTTGGGGAGCAGTAGGCTGCCATTGTGCAGCGCCCAGGTAGCAGTATGGGGTTAAGGGTCTTTGCTCAGGGTCCCAGAGTGTCTGTGGGAGTGGGCCTTAAACTCAGAACCTCAATATTCCAAGCTCTGTGCCCCAACCACTAGGCCAGCACTCCACCAATCATATTGGTACAATATCTTCAGGCTATTAAGGGCCAAATGGCCCTTTAATGAATGTTAGCTGGCAATTTTTCATCTTGTCATTCTATCTTTTGGAAAAATGCCACAAACAGTGAGACTTCTCTAATAAAGCCAAGGCATGGTCACAGTGACTTGAAGGGTTTAAAATGGTTTAAATGGGAGACAGTGGCGTCAGGTGTAGGAGTTTGCCCTGAAATTGAAGGTTGATGGTTCAAGTTCCGGCTCCAGCTTTCAGTGCATTGTGTCCTTGGGCAAGATACTTCACCTGCATTGTCTACTGATGATGGTCAGAGGGCCCGCTGGCACCATTGTATGGCAGCCTCACTTCTGTCAGTGAGCCCAGAGCAGCTGTGGCTACAATGTAGCTCACCACCATCAGTGTGTGAATGGGTGAATGAGTAAATGTAGTGTAAAGCATCAAGTCTCTGATGCTTTTCAAGTCTCCTGACTTGAAAAAGCACTAAATAAGTACATTTACCATTTAAACTGTTTGAGAAAATAAGGATTTTCAAATTGGTAGGTTTAAATAGAAAAAAAAATACCTTTATAGCATGGCAGATTCACATAAATATACTGAAGATAAAGATTAAAGTCTCTTCAACGGTTATATTAAGATAATTAAAATAATCAAATCTAATATTAGATATTTTCCACCCCAAACAGAAGTTCAGGTAAAAATGTACATGTGTGTCTTAATTCCTATTCAGTACTCTTCTAGATGAATTAAAACAGTCAGCCTCAAGACATCTTAGAATAAACATTTATAAACCTTTGTTACACATGTAACTCCTTAAGACCTATTAGTATGTAAATCTTTTAGGTCAAACTCCTGTAGATTTTGGCTCATAGTCTTCTACATCAGTCACCATTGACTTGAAGGAAATTTTTCACACAAAGGGAAGCAGACAGGAGATTATTGAGACATATACACAAACCACTGAAATTCAAGATTAGAGATTGTAAGGAAGTATGGAGGACTAATCTGGAGAAGAAACTACTGTAAATCAGTATTAGATGTGTGGTCAGGGATGAAAAAGCTCCCTGGATTCAAGCAGGATGATCAGATCAATATAAGACTGAACAGAGCCAAGTTACTTTTGTCATGATCTGGCCTGTTTGCTCACCCCTAATTAGTAATTCCTCTCACCTGCCCTCTTCCTTCCCTGCCTCAATTATAATTTATTCCTCTCACCTGTTTCCTCTAGTTTATATTCAGTTCAACCTGAGCATTCAGTGCCAGATCATTGCTTGTCTTTTTGTTAGTCTGTTCTGTTCAGTTTTATTTGGTTCATGTCCTGGATCCTAGCTGCCACATAGAGGGTTTTAGTGTTTGTCTCGTCTCCTGATCGTCCACTGTTCCTCCCCCAAGGAGTCCTCTGGGTTTTTGGCTCATTATGGGGGGAGGTTCAGTTTTTATCTAAGTAAGCC